TTATTATTATTATTATTATTATCATTATTATTATTATCATCATTATTAGTATTATGATTATGATTATTATTATTATCATTATTATTATTATTATTATCATTGTTGTTTTATTTGGCGACAGATTTGTCCTGCTGAGGAAATATAGTGTGGAGCATTATTATAAATGACAGTACCTTAAATAAATAAACACTGATTAAAGGCGGACATTAAAACCTAAGAGGCGTTCACACATTGTGTTCAGGCACCAGTGAGGGCAGCCCAGTTCCCGGAAGTGCAACTGGTGCTTCATGGACAAGGAAGAGATATTTGTTGAGCTGTAGTCTGGAGACCATATTAACTTTTATATCTTGACCCAGAGTGACTCCTGTTAACCCGACATCATGCCTCTGTTCGCACAGAATCCTTTCGACCAAGATGTCGGTGAGTGAAATGACGTTATTTTGGTGTTTCAGGCTGCGAGCTAACGGCTAACGACACCATGCTAACGTTAGCTTAGCTTAGCATGACTTCTTCACTTCGCTCTAAGTTTATTGATCAGCGTCAGTTTCTGTGACAACAACACACACAGGTGTCAGACACTGTGTCAGGGCACAGCTGACAGGCTACCAACGACTCCCAATAACTTTATCGATCAGGTGATCAGGATGAGATCAGAGAGTGTCACTAACTTCAATCTGACTCATGTACACGGTGACTGTGGGCTAACGTCATCTGATCCATAATCAGCTGATAACCGTTATACAGGTCGATTATTGGTGTGTGTGTGCCATGTGACGGTAACAATACACGGCTGGTTTTAATCTCCATCCATCCGGTGATGTTTCCGATCGATCGATTAGTCTATAAACTGCTCGTAAACAAGGATCCAGCGGTTTGAGATTATTCATGGAGTAACGATGGTCGCAGGAAATATCGCGGTATTCCAGAATTATGATCATTATTATCGGTCAGATTATCAAACAGGAAGTGTTAATAATCAATAAGTTAATTTGATCTCAACTTTGAGTCTGATTCCTGTAAACAGACAGGCTGACGTCATCTGATCCCAAATCAGCTGATAATAGATATATAGACTGAATATTTGTGCATGTGCCGTTTAGCAGTAACAAGAAACTTTATGTATAAATCACCTGTCACACACACACACACACACACACACACACACACACACAGCCCATAGAGCTCCACAGGGCAAAGTTATGACACAGACACAGTTTAAAGGAAAACACAAACAACTGAACATAAAGTTTTGCAAGACTAGAAGATTACAACAAGACATTGAAATATTAAAAAAAAAAAAAAAATAATGAAACAGAACAAACTAAGAAAAAAGAAACAGATAATTAAAAGTCCACAGGATAAAAAGAAAGTAAGTGAATAAAATAAAAATAAACAGCAGGGATAAAATAAGGTTTAAAAATAACAATGGTTAAAACTCTTAAACTTTTTTTCCAATATCGTAGATAAGCAAATGTATACATTATGATAACCATCAATTTATAGATTAAATCTCCATCACTGTTTTTGAACAGTCCAAGACCTGAAGACTGTAGGTTTACCATCGTATAAAATCCTCATACACAAGAAAGCTGTTTTATTTTTTTGATTAATGGATTTAACAGTTGACAGAAAGTTAATCAACAGCTATTTTGATAATCAATTAGTTGTTGTTTAAGGTTTTTTTTTAGGCAAAAGTACCAAATATTCTATAGTTTCCACTCTGACTTGTGAGGATCTGTTGTTTTCTTCTGTATTAATGAGATAGTTGAGTGAATATTTTAAGGGTTTGAACTGTTAGTCAGACTAAACAGGGGATTCAAAGATGTTATCTTGGGATTTAAGTATTTGTGAAGGGCATTTTATTTAGAGATGTACAGATACCACTTTTTTCTTCCTGATATCGATTCCGATCGCTGAACCTTAGGTATCTGCCGATACCGAGTACCGATCCGATAGCAGCGCGTAAAAAATAAAAATGGATGGGCTATGAATTGTTGTATGTCTCAACTCCTAAAACTCTGTGTAAAATATTAAGAAATAAATACATAATAGTAGAATGAATGCCATAAAACTTTTTTAATTATTATTATTATCCAGTGTTGACACAGATCAAGACACAGGTTAAAGTGCAGCCACACAATTTGGTAAAAAAGACATTTGACATGAATGCTTTTTAAACTCTGCTCCGTTTCCGTTTCGTTTGCCTGTAGCGTGCATATGCGTAATTACGTGAGGCATTACCTGGTATCGGACTGGTCATAAGCTGTACTCGCTGATACCAGATACCGCATTTTAGGCAGTATTGGAGGCATTTCCAATACTGGTATCGGTACAACTCTAATTTGAACTGTTAGTCAGACTAAACGGGATTTAAAGATGTTGTCTTGGGATTTAAGTATTTGTAAAGGGCATTTTATTAATCAAACAATTAATTGAGAAAATAATCTGAAGCCCCACAGATGATGAATATAATCCTTAGTTGTCTTTCAGTTAATTGTTTGAGCTCTCGTTAAGACTCTTTGGTTTGGCTCTAACGTCTCAGCAGTTTGTGTCACACACATGTCTTTTCTCATCATGTTATGTAAAGTTTCATGCAAACGTCCGAGGTCATGGCCCTTATCTGTCCCTGTAACACCACAGTTGTTGTGTGAGGACACAATGCTGCCCTGTTACACTCTGTGAGTGTCAGGATGATGATGATGATGAGTGTCTGACTGGGCTTACTATGAACTGGAAATGTGCATCTGGGTAATTTCCTGCTGACGTGTTATGAAACAGTGGTTTATCACCACCACATATCGAAAGTGTTGTCTTTTCCTGGTGTTAACAGCTGTGTCACAGTGAGGTGATGTCATCATTTAAACTTACCAGACTGTTCCAGTTGATAGATTATCTGCCTTCACTCAGTCATTATGTCCATGTCACTGAGGATTATTAATCTGTGAAAGCACCAACAGTAACTAGTTACCTTACGTTAGAGCTGCGCCATAAGTGGAGAAATCATATATCGCCATATTTTTGTGACCAAATGTCTCATTATTGATATTGTGACAATACAGGAGGGTTGATTATTGGTGCTTTGACACAATATTCACACAGTGAGATTTTTGATGAATAATCATGTGTAGTGTGAGTGTGATTACTGAGTGGTAAGTGTAAGTCATAGAGCAGCTACGACAGTCTGGTAAGTTCAGAAAATGACGTCACTTCACTGTGACGCAGCCTTTAGATTAGGAAAAGACGACACTGATGATATTATGATATCCTAAATCTGGGACGATATCTAGTCTCATATCACGATATCAATATATTCTCCAGCCCAACCTCACAATATTGATATTGAGATATTTGGTTAAAATATTAAAAAAATTTTAGTGACTTTTGCAGCTTCTCAATAAGTAGAAATAAATAGCCACCTACAGACGCCATAACGGGAGATATGATCAACTCGCTGTCTTTGGTTTAATCGTGCTCACTATTTTATGATCCAGGAGCTTCAGTTAGTTTATGAGTCGATTGAAATGCAGGATGAGGCTATAAACTAATTGTCCTGACTGTCCCGTTAAAATGAAAACTAAAATCTACAAACATTCCCAGAATAAATAGGCCTTAACAAAGACACAGTTCAAATCACCAGAGTATTAAACAACTTCATCAAACAATAAAGTGAGATGAACCAAACACACAGCAGTTAAAGACTGTAACCCTGCACATTCACCTCAGCACACCTGCCTCTAATTAAAGGTTCCTGAGATGCCAGGTCATTTAAGTGACTCAAAAAATAACAGGAAACTAGAAGGACTTGGTAGAAATGTCTCTGACAGTAACATTTGATTTTCTCCACATCACCCAGCCCTGATTAAACATTAACTCTGTGGGAAAAGGAGCAGACGTGCTCCCTCACAAATCAAATCTAAAGCCATTAATGATGAGTGTATTTATGGTTCAGACTGTCACCTCCCAAACTGTTGATGAGTTAAAATGCTCCAAGGTTAGGATGGTTCACCTCCTCCACTAGACTGTTCACAATGAAACTCTTCTCAGAGTCTTGTAAAGACTTGTCTTCACTTCAGGCCGACAGGTTTTAGTACATGAACCAGTCCTCAAACTGGTTGATGTTGATGACTGTAGCCCTTCCCTGCTGTGACTGGCGTGTCAGTCCACAAACACATGATGGCAGAAGACAAGCCGTCGTGATGCCAGTGAATATATTTGCTCACTGGATCATATGCTCTGTGTCCCTCTCTTTGCCATATCTCCAGAGAAGGCAACCAATGAAACCAACACAACAGATGACTGGGGCCTAATCATGGACATCTGTGACAAGATTGGGACGACAGCCAATGGGTACGCTGGAAAAAGGCCTGTGGATGGTCGGAGGACAAGAGCATCTCTGTGGATCAGTTAGCACCTTATTAAAGTACAGTATATCTGTATGAGGTCAGATCTCATCTTCACTGAACTCTGCTGTTGTGTTTCAGACCAAAGGACAGCTTGAGATCCATCATGAAGAGAGTCAACCACAAGGTGCCTCATGTTGCCATGCAGGCCCTCAACGTGAGTGTGTTACTGTGTTTATGTGCCGCCTAACTCATGCACATCCTCCCCACTGATTCCCCTCCAGTGTCTGTATACTGGGACAGAGACAGTAGTGCTGGTGGCCTGATGGTTTGGTCAGACTGTACCTGTAGCTCCACCTAACTGTGCACAGAAACATGCTGACTGTGATTGTAATGTCTTGGCTGACAGCTGCAGGCAGCTCCAGCTCCACAGGTCTCTCTAACACACTGTGTGTTTTTGTCTTCAGGCCATGTTCAAAATAAACATGTGAAACCCAAAGTAAACAAACATCTCTGTAAACAACAGAAACAAGTAAACATCAGGAGGTTTGGACGGGTCAGACTCTGCACTCCCATTGAACTCTGAGTTTAAATGAACATTCACCGACATGATTCAGCTGCAGTGGAGCTGTGATTGATCTCATGTTCCCGATGTTAAAGCCTCGCAGGAAAGTGGAAGATTTAATTCTGGAAGGCTGAGAAATCTGAGAGCTGTTTCTGTGTCTGCGTCTGAGTCATCATGAGCAAATACTGCCACATGGCCCGCTCTATATTTAGCTCTCTGCGTTCACTCATTCAGATAATTAAATCCCTATTGTCATTAAAACCATTTATAATTACCAAAGCTTCACCTGCTATTAATATGTGCTATGAATAATTCAGTCATGTGAGGAGGAGGAATTAAATCCTGCTCCTTGTTTCCTCCTCTGTAATGAAACATATTCCAGCTGTTTCACCTGATGTTATTTACAGTGTCCACCTTTTCTCTCACAGCTGCTCGGTGCTTGTGTGTCAAACTGTGGCAAAATATTCCACCTGGAAATCTGTTCAAGAGAGTTCGCCAGTGAAGTGCGGAGCGTGCTGAGCAGGGTATGTAAGCCTCTCCTCACTGTTCTTATTTTATAACTGTATCTGTCATGTGTGTGAACACTCTGATCTGTGTCGCTCTTACACAAAGAGGCTAACTGACTGTTTCCACCATTTCGTCCTTAAAAAATCAAAAACACACCTTCCTCCTGCAGCTCCTCCCTCTCTGTCCTAAGCCCCTCCCATGAGACGACCATGGCCATATGCACACGCTTAATGCAGAAACTCAGTTTTCATACATTTACTCAAACAGTGATTTATTAAATCTTATTTTATTGTGGAGTTTTGCACATTGCACCTTCAGCCTCTCCTCGTCCAGCTCTCTCTCTGTTTATCAGATGAGACCAGAATTAGCTGTTAGCCACCTCGCGGTCCCTTCGCCTCGCTCCCTGCCGCTGGAAGGTGAGCGGGCATTAGCTCATCAGATGGACCTGTGGCTGGCGGCTGTAGTGGCTCAATTTTTGGCCAGGGCAAAGGCAGGGCAGTTGTTGGCAATGCTGGAACAGCAACTTTCTCTGCAGGATTCTCCTCCATTGAATCAGGCTTTCACTGAAGAGACGTTCACGCTCATCTGCGTTTGTAGAACAGCCAACAGGAAGGCCCTCTCTCTAAATGAGCTGTGATTGGACAAAGTCCTCCGTCAGGGGCTAAACTTTTTAGAGCCAAGAGAAGGAGCAGAAGTCTAGTTTCCTCTCAGACCACTTGAATTCCATTAACTGCAAAGTTTATCACGTAATTTTTCCCCAGTGATGCCAGAATAACCCCAGCTTTAACTGTGTTGGAGCCCTTTTATTGGGCAGCTATGAGAGTCTCCTTGTGTCATAAAACACAGCAGATAGTGGCACAGCTGACTGTCTGTGTGTTCTCTGCAGGCCCACCCGAAGGTGTGTGAGAAGCTAAAGGCTCTGATGGTGGAGTGGGCTGAAGAATTCCAGAAGGATCCACAGCTCAGCCTGGTCAGCGCCACCATCAAGTCCCTGAAAGAGGAGGGCGTCAGCTTCCCCTCGCCGTCCTCACAGGTATGTTTACATCATAACGTATGTGGAAGTTCCCGGTTTTAAAATCCAAGATGTCCTCCATGTACACATAAAACCTCTGAGTATTTAGCCTGATATAGTTCATCCTCTCATAGAAGGAAGAAACCGTATTCTGGCAAACTTTCCAGCCACAGCCAGATTTAGCAGCACTTTGTTGCAGTCAGTTTGATCCCAACACTTTGTTATGTACTGGAAACATTTTGACTTCCTTCAGCAGATGTAATTTGTTCACAGTCCTCCGTTACGCTGCTGTGTTTTCTCCCCATAATTACAGTTCAGTCCACAGACTACAATAACAACAACAGTGTGTGTGGATGCTTCTAGTCTGCCCTGAGGCTGTCGTTACAGCTGTGGTTTTACTGCAGACCAGTGTGAAGGTTCAGGTTGGGTGGAGCTGTCTGCATTTGTGCCTACAGTGGTATTTCTTCTGCACATATTTCCCATAATTCTGTGGATCTGTGTGTGTGTGTGTGTGTGTGTGTGTGTGTGTGTGTCTGAGGATCAGGACTGTCCTCATGCTCATTGTGGAGGGAGCTTGCTTTCCTCTGGTTCCTGCTCTTATCCTCAGGTCATCTGTTTGATTTATTGTGTAACGACCTTACGTGTGTGTCAAAGGTTGGTTTGGACTTTGCTCTCAGGTTGTTGTAAAGCAGCCGACCTACAAATGTATCGTCTGTGGTCACCGTCTCGCTGCAGCTGGCGGCTTTGTTGTGTGTTGAAGTCTTTACTTCTTTAGATGTTGAATGTTGCATCATGGTAAATTCAGTCCAGTTCAACATCACTGCAAACTGCAACCTCTGTAATAAACACAGAGAAGTGCACAGATCTCTGCCAGCCGGCCGTCTGAGCTGGTCGCAGCCTCTTTAGAAACATAAGAGAAGCTCAGAAAAACATGTTCCTCGTCTATTTCTGACTGAGCCTCGGCACTTTGCACAGAGCAGACTGAGTTCTCCTGCTAACAGGCGCTGAATGTGAAATGTAGGTGTGATGTAATTATGAGGATGAATGTATTTTTAATAACTAAAACACAGACACAAATCTTTGATCTGTCTCATTCATAACTGGAGTTATAATGGTGTTAACTTTGCCTTCAGGCTTCAGCACAACAAAGTAAAAAATGTGACAACATAAACTACTTATTTACGTATGGTAGACACAAACAGTATCAAGGTAACATGACCAAATCAATCTGAAAGTCGACAGAATCAGACAGGCAAACGCTTTGCTTCTCAAACGCTCCTCTGGCATGACGCCGTGCTGCAGACGGAACAAAGCAAGCTGCGGCGATGGCAGCTGGAACCTGGCACAGCTGTGCCTGGCTTCCTTCTGATGGAGAATATTCACCAAATCCAGTGAACAGACAGGAAGATGTGCCTCAACCTCAAATAGTTCACTTTGCTCCAGCCAGTGGGCAGTGCTGGGTTTTAGCTCAGCTGTGTTCACGATGGCGGGCAGGTCACAGACGTTCTCATTTTACAACTTAAAATGTATATTTACCATCACAGTCAAGAAAGCAGAAACGCAGACTTATTAATTTTGTATCGTGCCTGATGTCAGTGGATCCTAACATATCAGGTATGGTAATTATCTGCAGATGTTCTGGTTTAAATTAAGGCCAATCTATGGATGTCAGTGTTTGAGCCACACTGAAGGACTAAATGTGGCAGCAACAGACAGGACACCTCGTGGTTTTTAGATGATTTCTGTTGAAACTTGCTGCACCTACTGACCAGTTAGGAGCAGTCAGCAGTCAGTAATGGTATAAAACCAAGCTCCAGGAACAGCTTCAGGCTCTGAAGCTGATTTGACAAAGAAGCTGAATCGTGGAATCACAACTTACAGGTCTGTCACGTGCTGTGGAGCCTAAAAAGACATCTTTCCGTAGACATTATGAAAGAGACATCTGTAAATCTTTGGATACATTTTTTTTGAGTCACAACTCCTGTGAAATGACTCATTTTAGTATCAGGAGTTGAGTCAAACTTTTTTGGTTTCATGCGCCACTGATCAGCTTTCATAGACATACATGGATCCCCAGCTCCACTGCTGTTTGTAGTGTCTTTATAATGTTCATCCATGTATAAAAATGTCAATAAAACAGGTTGTTCAACAATCATGAATCACCATGACCACCAGAGTTCCTTCAGAGTAATGAGTAAAAATATGTATATATACAAATCATGGATAAAAATGAAGTACAGGCAGGCGCAGCAGGTGAGACCAAAAATCTTTGGTGGTGGAAGGAGCATGTTGAAATGTTTCCTAAGCTGGCAGCGATTGATGTTTTCACCATCCAGTCAAAGAGACGTCTCCTCCGCTGGAATTGGGATTAACAGGTCACGGGAGTTTTATTAACGAGTGTTGGTGTGTGCGGGTTTTCAAAAATGGACCCGTGCAGGACTCTGACAATCGTAAATGTACACACAAAATATTAGGCTGATAGGTCCAGTAGTATTTGTTTGAATACTACTGGACCTATCAGCGTAATATTTTGTGTGCACATTTACGATGATGCCCTCCAGGCTGTCACATGACAGATATTTAATACCTCTCTCTCCACAGTGTCTTTATAAAGGTATAATTTATGGCTGCACTGTACAAGTGTCCAGTTTGATCCATTGTCATCTGTTCATAGTGTGAACAGACGCCTGAGAGCCTGGATTAATAACAGTCATTGTGTTGTAAAGGATGTTGTGTGGAGGGCTGTGTAACCTGCCTTAATGGAGAGCAGGTGGCACACGAGGCCAGTGCATGTTGTTTAATCTGTGTCAGCTGATGAGCAAACAGCAGCAGGTAGTGTGACTCAAGCTGTGACTCCTCTCTCAGTATTTACCTTCAGCGATTATTCATGCTGAACTTTAACGTCGCTCATAAACAGCATGCAGGTAGGTTTTTTTCCCCCCGTGTTCAGCCGCTCACCATCAGGCCGTGTCAAACAGACCAGTGTTCCAGTCCCTGTCGTTTAACGCTCTGCTGGTCATATTTTGTTGTCTTGCTGCACAGTGTGTGAAGGTCAGCTGGAGCAGCATGAACAGTTCAGTGCCAGTTTTAGATTAAATGAAAGCTCCACCCATCAGGCGCCGGTGCTCTGTAGTTAGCTCCTCTCTCTTTGGATGAGGATTTCAAAGAGTTTTCACACAGTCAGAGACCTGTTTAGAAAAGGAAACAGCCATCTGCCTCACGTCCCCAGTGATAAACAAGTGAATGGAAGTTCCACATTTATTAAACTTTCATCTGCAGTTTCCAATATTCACTTTATCACTGTGCACATTATTAAGCAGGATGACTCTGTTGTTCCCTCAGTTCCTTTTCAGCTGCAGCACCAGAAACATTTGTTCTAACATTGATCTCTGTGTCGTGTTGTCATGTCAGCAGGATAATAGTGACAGACTCCTCAGTAGACGACAGTTTGGGTCCTGCACCCTGTAAATCTGTACGTGGGGAAAGAGACACTGGGCCAGCAGCTATCAGTGTTAATCACATGTTCACCTTAGAGTGAAGATCATGAGACAGCTGTTTGTGTCTGAGGGCCAGAGCCTTGTCTCTGACCAACATGTAGTACCCAACATGAACTACAGGTGGCAGAACAGTCAGTGGAAATACAGTTTTTAAATGCTGGTCTGTAGTGCTGTGCAAGTACACACACACACACACACACACACACACACACACAGAGATGTGACCTTATCTTTCTATATTGACCACAGGGGTCCAACTCAAAGGGCAGCACGACCGCTGTGAGCAAAGCATCCGATGATGACAACCTGGCCAAAGGTAAAGTGAGGTGCCGTCACTCAGCTCTGCACACACCTTCATCATCATCGTCATCATCATCATTATCATCATCATCATCAGCATCAGCACTGCAACAGATACATATATTACAACTACTGTACTGCATGTTTAAAGGTTATGATTATCAACAGCTGTGATTACATGAACAATATTTAGGATTAAATCATTATGATTAGAGACTCCAACTTTTCCAAGTGTGTACATGGATCCTAAGCTTTTACCGTAGCATTTAATTACAGTCCAACTTTTTTTGATATGCAGAAAGTGGTTCTGCCCGCTGTGAAAGGTCCCTAAACAACTCACATGCTGACTATCAGTAATTTACTGAAGTTCCTTAAACACCTCACATGCAGGCCAGTGGTAAAGACAGAAAAATATTACGTCTAGTGACTCCACTCTGCAGCCTGTAGCAGCAATGTTACATCAGCCTGCTGTTTTAAAGTCAGACAGTACAGTTATTAATCAGAGCAGTGACATCACATTAGCAGAGTGCTATTTTTTATTTATTTATGAGTCTTTGAACTCTTCAGAGGAAGGTGTGTAGAAACAGCTGTTTCTGTACCCATGTTGGGCAAACGTGCAGAACAAATATATTTATTCCAACCTGAGAGAAACGATTGGATTAAACATTTACATGGTTATTACAGTAGGTACTGATATTCTCCTACTGTACAGATTATCAAGCACTAACCCTCACAACTTAGATCCGGTCAGTCTCCTCTTACTGACGTCATTACATGAGGCGTTTTTATTCTGATTATTAACAGAATATCAGGGTCCATGTAAACAGGCCTAATTAGTGCCAGAATAAAGTCCTGGTTCTCAGGATTGGACCAGTTTAAATTGATTTTATTTTCTCGTTAATCAATAGGTTGTTGTGTTGCCTGTGTTATTGATTATCATCTTCCATCTCAGCAGAATTCTCAGAGCTCTCTGTATTCCTTTGTGTTGGACATTTGACAAACGTCCTCTTCTTCTCTCTCTTATCCTCCTCCTCCTCCCCCAGCCATCGAGCTGTCCCTGCAGGAGCAGAAGCAGCAGGCTGAGACACGGCCCCTGAGCGTGACCTCTGACCCCCCAGCCTACACCAACGGTGGTGGGGGGCAGGAGGTGCGGAAGGTGCGAGCGCTGTACGACTTCGAAGCAGCTGAAGATAATGAGCTGACATTCAAGGCTGGAGAACTCATTCTGGTTCTGGATGACAGGTAATGATTCACACGCGTCAGATCATGACTCAGCTCTGCTTTAACCCTGAAATATCAGTGAGACCACCACTGCTGCTGCAGACGCCTGACAGGAAGTGATATTCTCAGGAGAGTTGGAGCTGGGTCGGCTGAATTCAAGTCTCTATTCCAGCAGCTGAAGGTCGTCCTCAGACCGTCTGCCATTTTCTGCTGTCTCTCTTCGGTCCTGTTTTTACTTTAAACAAATATGACGTCATGTCACTCTTTGATCACTACAGAACAAACAGTACAAGAGGCAACTTATTTCCAGCTCTGCATTTAAATGATATCAATACAGGCGTGACAAAACTGATACAAAAATCATTAAAAGAAAAACCTTGACCCCCCCCCCCCCCATTAAGTAAAGCTTTGTTTGCATAAAAGAGCTGTGTCATTTTTAACAACCTTCCTGAGCTGCACTTTAAATATGCTCTAAATATTATAGATATAATTCTGTTCCTTAAATAAAGTCTGATCACTGAACTGAAAATGTGTTTCTTGCAGCTCAGTGACAGACACCATCAGCTCAGATTTCCTTTTTATTTCAGCCAATGTTTTCATGTTGTGATGCTCGGACTGGTCTGAAGCTCTGTCAGACACTCGGTATGACTCACTCTCAGAAGCTCGTACATTGATGTCTTCCTGTTTCATCATTTTGTTTACAGCGATCCAAACTGGTGGAAAGGAGAGAACCACAGAGGAATGGGACTGTTCCCCTCCAACTTTGTCACAACCAATCTGAACGCTGAGCCTGAGACAGGTCGGTCTTATTATTCGGTCTCCTTCAGCTGCACACAGGCCATTTACAAATCGCCATCCTCTGTGCTCCTCAGGTTTTTTATTTAAACTGGAGCAGATTAGTTTCAGACTGACGAACTGAACTTTTCCTCCGCAGTGACTTATGTCGAAAAGACGTCCAGTTCTGAAGAGACGAGCCTGGAAACCAAAGTTGAGCCTGAGCCTGTCTTCATTGATGAGGTACAACATGTCCTCAGTGCTCATGCACTAACAAACCCAATCACCTCTCCATCAATCAGCCTGAACCCTGCTCTCCTTTCTCCCCAGGCAAAGATGGACAGAACGCTGGCACTGCTGCAGAATGCAGATCCTGCAGATCCGGCTCCTGACGCTCCAGAGCTGATCCAGCTGGAGGGTGAAAACCTTAATGCTAGTGTAAATCTAGTCTCTCTGCCAGTGACAGACGCAGACAGTGTTGGTTTAACTCTGCTCTGTTTCTGTTTCCCTCCCTGACTGTAAATATGTGAACAGGTGCGTGTGAACAAATGAACCCGCTGATTGATGAGAAGCTGCAGGAGATTGACAGGTAGCGTGTCATCAGTGTGAACATGGTGTTTTTATCAGAATTGTTCTTACAGATTTGTTTAAGGTCCAGCGAGGTTTCTGAGATTATCTAACATCCTCTTCAGCCACTGTGAAGTTCAGGATGTAGATAACCATGATAGTGCCTCAGCTGTCGAGACTTTGAAAGGCAATCTGTCGACCACCTGCACTGTTCTGCAAATAAGAAATGTCCTCATTAAATCAGTGTCTCTCTCTTTATGTTGCAGGAAACACTCAGAGCTGTCTGAGCTGAACGTCAAAGTTCTGGAGGCCCTGGAGCTTTACAACAAGCTCATGAACGAGGCTCCGTTCTACTCGACCTACTCCAAGATGCAGACGCAGTACGCTCCAGCCGGCTCAGCTGTGGCCATGCAGGTCAGAGAATGTTGTCCTTTGTGATGCTCAAGTCTCACTGCTGCAACAACACGTACACATTTTACTGATGTAGCTTTGCATCATTGGACACAATGGGCCCTATTGTAATGGTTTATAGCACATGGTACAGTACATGGTGCAGGTGCATTTAGGGCGTGTCCAACTCCACTATGCAAGTTAAACTGCACATTATCTGGGCACAGAGTGAAGAGGAAAGGACAAAGAGGTTATAATTAGTCCCTTTATTAATCTCATGTGTGTTCTGGGTGTAACGTGAGTTCAACCAATCAGACTTTTATCTCCCATTCCCTTTAAAAGCCAGGTGTGGCTCCACCTGACACACGCACACATATTTACATGGTGCATTTGGAAAACAGGAGCAGTGAGTGGTCTAACAGCAGCACACAACCAAATGAAAAGTGCTACCTGATCCAGTTTGATCATGATACAGATTTAGGCTGGGTTCTCAGGTGCTTTACATAGACATGCTGTTTACACTGGCTTTGTTCCCAAAGTAGACGTGACAAGGTTTGATTTATGACATGAGCAAGTATTTCATTGTAGGATTTGAAAAACTCCAAAAAGCTCACATTTCTTCAAGATTAGTACGGTTCACAGAGTTGTTTGTAATTCAAAGGGGCTCTATGTGAAATTCAGAGTGTATGTTGAGTTGTCTGTTCTCAACATAGAGGTGGCTGAGCTGGTGGCTAGCAGCTAACGGTGCTAACCCCAGAAACAGTACTAAATAAGGGCAACAACACAGGCAGAGCTAACAGTGCTAACTAGGTGGGAGCTTCCACGATGACGTTGTCCTGATATCAGTGGTAACCACCATATGAGCGCAGTGCAAAGAGGTGGCAGTGAGATAGCCAGTGGGATACACACATGCACACACAGCTGGACCTGCTCACTGCAACAAACCACAGAGAAGCTCAGATTAAAACACAGAGGGAGCGAGACTCTGCTCAGGAGTCACTGCTGCTGTGTTAACGCTCTGACTGTCACATACAGAACCTTTAACTAAACGTCACAAACTGCAGCTGATGATGCAGCATGTCTGAGTGACACTGATGCACATGATGGTGACTTAAAGCTGATAAAATGAGCAGGCTGCATTTTTCTGTAGAGTGAATACACTGAGTTGATGCATGGTGGAGCAGCTTCAGATCAAATCATGTCAGACTGTTGATGGTGAGCTTTAGTGTTGTGCTGCAGAGTCAGTAACAAGCCAGCTCATACATAATTCAGAGATTGATTGAGTCAGAGGTCGGTGCACAGAGCAGGAGCTTCTCTCTTTAAGAAGAGGTGACAAACTGTACGTTAACTACCAGTGTGCTCGCCCACAGAGACTCTGCATAGCTCTGAGCAGACCGTCACTGTCCTCTATTGATTCTATTGATCTCCTCATGTTTCTATTAATTTATTTCATGGAGACAACAGATGACTGACACAGAGGAGAATCATCCACAGCGGTCACATGCTGACATCTTACTATTAGCCTCCATTATTTAGTTTCTCCATCCTACACAGTGTGTGTTATATTTGGCCAGCAGAGCAGTTGACTCTGGTGCTATCCTCGTCCTGATCGCCTGACGTTCAGTCAGCCTTTTCCTCCTCCCCAGAGAGCCCCAGGCTGCCTGGCTTTTCTTGGCAGCGGCTGTTTTCTCTGTAATGATTGATGTCACTGTCTCTCCTCTGAGATTTAGAAAAATGTCCACTTCAGTGGCCAGGCACTGCTCTATTTTCCTCTCTTCTCTCCCCCCTCATCATTTATTTTTTGTGCAGAGCACTGTAAAGTCCCCACCAGGTCATCGCTGCTGCACCTGCAACAACATGATTTAGTTTTACATAAGCACTTAGAAATAGAAACCCTGATTATACTATTCCTGTTTTATATAATCTTCTCTGACAGCTGTGTTACATCTTTGTTGCTCGTGCTCTTTTTTATCGTCTATATAAAGTGTGAACAATAAAGCAGCAACAACAGCTGACCTGCTGTGATCGTCTGGACTTTGTTTGTCCAACAGCAACCAGGCGGGTTTATATCTAACCTTGTGTTTCAGACTCACAGTCGTCAGACACTTTGCAGAGGACGAACACTGATGGACGTCTCTTTTTATTAGAGTTGCTGGGGTCGACCTGGGAGAGAGACAGATGATACGGACTTTATGAGGAAATCTTTTATCTGAAAAGATCCAATAAGGTTTTGGGCATTAGAGCTTTTATTATTGTTGAATAAAAAGATCTGTGTGATGTGCTTGTTTAGCAGGTGAAGGTGTTTGCTGTCTCTCCAAGAGTCAGATGAGAGGATTTATACCACTGTAGTGTCTGTATCCTAAATATGAAACCACAGCCAACAGCCCTTAGCTTAGCTTAGCTTAGCTTAGCTTAGCATAAAGAATCACAACAGGGAGCAGCTAACATGGCCGACCTGTATGTATTCTTTATTTAACAGGTTAAAGTCTAAGTGAGATTTAAAATCTCTGCATCAGAAGCGACCTGTCCAAAACAAGACTGCAGTGTAAACATTGTGAGAATAAAAACAATCATGCTCTCATCAGTTCCTAAAGTCGACCTGCTCGTGTCCCTCTGGTCTCCTCAGGGCTACATGGGCCCCGCCAGCGGCCCCTACCTGCCTCCAGTGATGTCACAGGTTCCTCCTGCTCAGCCCTACAGTCTGCCCAGCGACCAGCCCGGACCGCTGCACTCACTCCCCCCTAACGTCTCCGCCCCGCCCAACAGCCAGGCTGCACAGCCTCCATACATGAGGTGAGAACACTGAAGACAAACAGTGACAGCAGCACACACACAAACTAATGACCTGTGAGGAGCAGATGAAGACACTGAACACAGGTTGTGTTTTAATGTTCAGTTTTCTCCACGTCTGTCGCTGCCTTCTAATCATCACAGTAAACAGCAGCTTGTTTTTGTCTCTGATCCAATAAAAGGTAGAAGCAGAGAAGATGGATGTATGAGTGGTGAACAGGTACCACAGTGTCAACACTGATCCTGTTGGCTGACCTCATCATGTTTGTCCCTGGACTGAGTCCCACAGACAGACAGACAGACAGACAGACAGACGCACAGCCTCCTCAGGCTGTATGTGTCTGTAACTGTAATATAGATTACATCAGTGCTGACTGATACCTGTGTGATGATGCTGACTACGATCATTGTCCAGTATCTGTGTGTGTATATATA